TTGAAATCTGACATCATATTGATTCTAGAAAATTATACGAATCGCTTTTATCGATCGCGTTCCCTTTTGTCTTGGAGCCTTCTTTGAACGACGCGATTCTTCATCTGACGAGGATTGATCTCGATCTAAAGGATCCCGAGTCCGATTCATTACCGTCCCCGAACCGTGTGCAATGCTAGAAATTAGAGAAACTCGTAGTAGACTATCCGTGACGAGTGTCGAAGTCCGTGAAATCGCGTACGCCATAAACGACGCTGTTTCCCGGACACTTCGAAAGAGAAAAGGGACACGCACATTTTTCGATCGCTAGGACAAGAGTCGTCGTTAGTTGCAAATGGAATTATCGATCGATCCTGGCTGTTTGATCGTTTCGACGCGAAGAAAAGAAAAAAGAAAAGGATCGAGTACACACACCTGTTGCGCCTATATAGTTACGCAAGAGAAAGAAAAGAAAGTAATAGGATAAAAGAAGAGGCAGGATAAAATGTCGCGTTTGAGGTTAGCAATATGATAAATATTGTTAGAAGCAGAAGGGGGAGAGGAATAAACTAATAGTAAAAAGTTGAAAGAGAAGATCTTTAAACTTGTACAAATGTTCAAGGTGTGTACATATTTATTATAAAAAAAATGGGAGAGGGGAGGGGAGAAGATGAAGAGGAAAATGGCGAACAGTGTGAGAAGAAAACGTCGAATCGTCTGGCAGTCCTTGTTTCGATGGAGGATGATACGAAAGGATGAATAACAACAAGTGTGTGTGTATGCGTATGTGTGTAAGCGAAATGGAACAAGATGGGGGTGAATGATCATATGATTGAACGAAGATCAGGAAGGTGAAACGTTTCATTAAACATTTTATTGTTCGTTGTAATAAACTTCTAGAGAAATGATATGCATTATTAAAGAGAGAGAAGAATTCTAAACGGTTATATTTCTTTGTGCATATATACATATATACATATATATATATACATACATAAATCGATATATGTGTATATATACATAGCTCGAAGAGAAGGAAATCGATGAAGATATTTAATATTGCTATAATGTGGCGTTTAACTCGTATTGGTATGCCCGCGAGGATATGTGAATGGAAGATAGGATGATTGTGAATTGTAAAGTTTCGCGAGAAAGATAGAGAGGAAGCGGAAGTTATGGACAGGAAATAAAGATAAATAGGTGGACAAAAAAAGAAAAAAAGAAAAAAAAAGAAAAAAAAAGAAAAATAAAAATGAATTATAGACACTCTGTCGATTCTGATCGATTCGATCTATCGTACTCAGCACAGTACGAGGCACATTTGTATTATAACATTATACATATTATATATATATATATAAATACATATATATATAAATATATATATTGTATCACCTATGTTTTTGTATTTGGTAATCTAACGAAAGACGAAAAGGAAAGAAGAAAAAAAAAAAAGTCTACAAAAAAGAATATCGAATTAACGAACAAAAGGTTAATAGAAAGTATATTATATATTTGAGTAAAATCGTTGAGAATTGGTATTATCCATGGCTGGACTGAGTCATAATTTTCGTCCCTTGTACGTAGTTTGTTTAATTTTTTCCTCTCTTCGTTCTTTTTCTCTGATCTTTTGTGCCCGTTTATTCGCATTCGATATATGCACACACACACCACACACACACAAACACGTACACACACACATTCACGCTCAGGTAATGTGGGGTTTAGGGGGGAAGTAATTATTAATAGTCCACTTTGAACAGGCGATTAAGTGAACGGTCTTGGATAAAACCAACACTCTTTTACTCATAACTTATTATGTACATCGTCTGAAGAAAACCGATACGTTCGTAAAAGAAAAATAAACATAAGTATATATCAATCGGTTTCGTTCATTTCCACTTGCCCTTTCATCATTTTGACGAGCGCACTCGTTCAATATGGCGTCTACTTTTTTCAATTGATTTTTTTTTTTTGTAATTGAAAAATTATATTTTAAAATTGAAGTTTTTAAAAGGAAAAAGGAAAGAAGAGAAGACAAAAACAAAATGAAATCTATTATTTTTTTAGAGAGAAGTTTGATAAAGTTTGCGTCGTGTTGTGCTGAGATCGCGTTTTCAAAATGAATCCAATATCTTGTATAATTTTCAGAAGAACAGATCAATTTGTACAGCATTTGTATATAGCCAATATTATGGCGATCATACGAATTTCCTCGTGGCAATAGACAAGTGACAAGTAGTATGGGTTATTTGTAACTCGAAGATTTTAGCGAAGATTGTAAATAACAGAGTGGTGGATTAAAAAAAAAAAAAAATAATCTCGAAGTATAATGATTAGTTAGAAAACGGATCGATCACGAGACATGATGTTTCGTCCATCAAAATTTGGTTGAACTGTCGCGTTTCTCATGGATACTTTCTCATGGAAGACTGTTACTATAGGAGAATACTTTTAGTATACCAATTCGGAAACGAAGTACAAAACAGACACCGAGATTTCGTTCGCCTCTACGTGAAGTGATTCCGAAGAGTTTGGAGATATTCGAACAGGAAGTAAGTACAATTACTGTAAATAAATACCTTCAAATAATAACTGATTAATATATAAATTATTATGCAGTAATTGTGTTAAAGATTTTGCTGCTCTAAGAGTATGCTCTGTTCGATTTAATTAATTTATTGAGGTTATGATATAAACGAGCGGAGGAGTAAAACATATCGTATATTTTTTAGCTGTAATAATTTTCCTCTTCTTTCTTGAATACTTGTATATCTGAGCATTGATTAGTTGAAGGAGAGAAAAAAGGAAAAGAAAAAAAAAAAAAAAAAAGAAAAAAGAAAATAATTGTATTTTCATTAAACAAGAAAATTAGGTAATTTTTAAGTTGCGTTCGATCAAATTGCATGATTATTGTTGATTATTATTTTAGAAAAATTAAAATTAAAAAGAAACATTTCTGTAAAAATTCACGTGTGGAAAAAAAAATTGTATATTTATACGTACTTTGAGTCGCGTTAGTGTGTTATCCATTAAAAATGATAAAACTTTTACGAGTACAATAAATTAGGCATACGATAATACGTACGATCATTTATACTAATGTCTTTTACATTTTTTAATCGGTATATTTCTTATTAGACTTTTAGATCCTCCGATTCTTCGTTCCTCCATCGGATACACCTGTAATACCATCCATAATGTAAATAAACAAACGGTTTAATAATAATATCTAATTACTCACATTTTTGGGATATCCTTGATATATTGAAATTCATTCGAATACTTTGTCGAACCATCGATACCATTACATTTCTCCCTCCAAACCTTCGTACTATTTAATAATGTCGAATAATCTCGCGTTTCAACCAGTTCCACCCTTTTCACATCCACCAAGTCGCTTTTCTTTGGCTTCTTTGAACGTAAAATTAAATTTTTCCTTTTCTCCGTGTATTCTTTATCCTGCTCCCTGTAAGAAAAATTCCTCTTCCCATTCCACTATTTATATCCATTGTTATTTATACTTATTTATTTTGCTATTTATAACATTGAAATTTTTTACCTAAACGCTCTAATTAAAGTTGCGTTATATTTACATTTCTCTTTATAAATTTCATTCGTTTCTTTCAAAGTATTTTCCCTTGATTTTTTCCTTTTGTACTCTTCCAAAGATTCCTGAATCTTTTCTTGACGTTTCTTCCTTTTATTTTCTTCCCTTTCTTTCCTCAACTTCATTTGCATTTTCATCTGTTCTTCGTCCATAAAACGTTTATTTTCCTTCTCAATTTTCCACTTTTTAATCAACTCTTTTTTCTCATTGTTATTCATTGAATTGTTGTTAGTTTCTGAATGACTTGACTTCCCCTTTTTGAAAACTTTTATCTTCGTTTTCTCTTCGGGAATTTCATTTTCCAAATCTTCCTTCTCATGGCAACGCTCAATTTCTTGGCCAATTTCATCGATGTTATTTTTCTCTCCAATTCTTTTTGTTGACGCCATTCCCTCACTGCCATCTTCTGTTTTCCACGCAAATCTTCATAATGCTTGTACCATGCCTCGTGATTCACTATAGTTTCAGCTGTTAAATCTGGACACTTTTTCTGAATCGTTGTAACCAGTGTTGGTATGCTTTTGCATTTTTTCCTCATTTTTAAAAAAAACAAGTGATCATCCAATGTCCAATTTTCCGTGTGACCTGTTTTTGAATTTAGAATCATTTTAAAAAGATTCTTAACCTTTTTACGAACACGTAAGTATTTCTATTACCTGTTATCGCGACGAGGCTATGAAAATCGTCCACGTCTTTAAATTCTACTTTTTCTCTTTTATTTTCCGTTTTAGTTTTACACAATAATGGTGTTGCATTTTTCTGCGCTTTCTCATACTTTTCCAAATTAAAGTTACATTCTTGCAATTCAACATTCAACGCATCCCCTTCCTCTTTTAAAGTTTGAATGGGATAAGATTTTTTGAAATCCTGCATATTTTGCGAAAGTTTGATCAATTTTGATTTGTACGTGTTTACATCTAAATATAAATATAATAAGTGTTCAGTTTTTTATTACGATAGAAATAATTTTCGACAAATATTTTTATTTACCTAATTTCTTTATTTCTTCCGGACTTTTAACGATATTTTTTACAGAATCCAAATCGGAAATAATATTATCTATATTTTTGTACATCGTATCTAAATAGTTCTGTCTGCCAAACATAATTAAATAAAATAAATTAAACATTTATATCTTATTTATATTTAAAGATATTTGTAGATATGTTTCAATTTGTATTTTTAATTTTTAATTTATACGAATTTTCAATTTCACATATACGCGTGTTCAAAATAATGAATGATTGATTCTTTATTATGAAAAATTCGAATTAATTTGAATATAATGTAATATTAAAATATTATACATACATATATATATGACGGTATTTACCTTCTTAAGGATAACTCTGTATGCTCGTGCATGATATCTTGTAATAAATTCGAGTCTATTTTCATATTTTTAATTGCACCGATTAATCCTTTTTCAAGAATATGTTCTTGCTGTTTCAACCTCAATAATGGTTTCATAAATAAATTTTGTGCGGATACCACTTTCTTCTTCGACGTATCATTCCTTGTTTTAACACTATCGTCGCCACTGGTGCACATTGGCGTAATTAATTATCCGTAAATTGTCGCTAATTACACGAGAAATTGGTTTCAATAACCCTTTGAGTTCGACGTTTAACGTCAAAGTAAAGTGTAGCAAAGTTCAATTTTCATTAGTCAACTGTAGAGCATCCCATAGGTTTCCATAGCAATTCCCCAACCCCATACATTTGTTGCACCTGTCGTTCGAATGAAAAATCGTGAAGGTTACTAGCTTACTAGTAATTAATATGTTTTGTTTTTAATAAGAAATATAAGAAGTATGCAATATACATTTCTTATTGAACATTATATTACATACTTAATGTGCATCAATATATTATTAAGTTGATGCAAAACATTTGTTTTCAATCGAAATATATCATTATTATTATCCGGGAGGATATTAAAATCAATCAATAACGCGCATTTAATGTGCATTTTTTATTAGCATAAAAATTATAGCATTTTATGCTAATAATATAAAAACAAATTATGTTATTTTATTATTTAATAATTATTAATACAAGATATAGAATAAATTCATTGTCTAATATATTTTTTTTTCTTTACCTTAAATTTTTTTTGATATCTCGTAACGCGTTTGTAGTTGTAACGCGCTAAAAGTATAGACAAAGAAAGCAAATGATGAGAGAAGGACAGAGATAGAGTAAAAATTAGGAAATCAGCGCCATCTGTTGAATGTCTTTGCTGGAATAAATGTAGACAAAGAAAACAAATAGAAGAAAAAGGATAGAGATAGGATAGATATTGATCGCTAGCGCCATCTTTTGGATGATTTCTTTAAAAGCAAGATAGAATAGAAATTGAAGATCAGCGCCATCTCTTTGGATCTCTTTTTTTTATATACAAAGAAATATGTTTTTTTTGATATTTAAGAAATAACATTGATGAACAAGTTTTAACCTATTTTATTTTACTATTTTTAAAATAAAAATTGACCGTCAGTGCCATCTCTTAGATATCAAAAGACATTTTTTTTGATGTATAAAGAAAAGCATACAATAGATGGCACTGATCTTCAATTCTTATTCTACTTTGCTTCTAAAGAAATATATTTATCATCCGAAAGATGGCACTAGCGATCAATTCCTATCCTATCTGTATCCTTTTCTCGCTATTTGTTTTCTTTGTCTACATTTGTTCCATCTAAGAGATTTAAAAGATGGCGCTAGTTTCCTAATTTTATTCTGTCTCTCTATCTTTCTCACACTTCTCACATTTGCTTTCTTTGTCGATACTTTTGGCGCGTGATCACGCGGAATTCAATATACTTCCATCATTTCTTTCTTAAAACTACAATGTACTTTAATTTTCAATTCAAACGTATAGATACTACATTTTCGGTTTTACAATGTGAACGATGACTTCGTAAAAAACAATATATTCCGATATATGATGATATATGATGCGAGATGATACTGTTTCGGTGATACCATAAAAATAGGATTTAAACAAACGAAAATTTAACTGGCAACAAAAAGGGTAGGGAGAAATTCTATAACATTTATATAAAAATCTATTCTTTCGCTATTTGTAATCTTGTGAAACATTCTTAAAACATATAGTTAAAATATTAAATCTGAAACAAGAATTTTAATGAAAAATTATTTCTATAATTTAAAATTTCAAATATATCTGCAAAACCTATTATTCGGTCTTTGATTATATATTTCATCCTATTTTACTTCATTTAATTTTCTAATTTGTAATCACATTACATACAAATTTTAAAAAAATACAATTTATTATTGATTATCATCGAAATGGAAAAGAAAAATTATTCAATATATATCTTAATACAAATGTAAGGCTAAATTTTTATACAGTATTATCCTTAAACATTTATGTTCTGCAAAAACATATGTAGGTCCCTGAATGAGTAAATTGAGCAATTCCGATGCCGAATCGATAACGAGCTCATTCATGTCCCTTATTTTTCTGTACCATCCAATACATCTGCCACGATGTGTCTTTTTTGGCAATGACTGCTTTTTCCTTCCTTCTTTTAGCAGCCCTGGCCATGTTGCGTTTTTTAGAATCACTTCTCGCCGTGGGGGGTGCTGAATACTGTTCATAGAATTACACCCTGATGTGTATCAGCCATAAATGTTCGTTTAAAAAGAAAATAAAAACTGTTGAACGTCTCGATAGTATCGAGAAAAGATACTTTTGTCAAAAAATACCATATTGTTCATTATTAATTATATTATTGATCTTACTATTCACTAGATTACTAATTCTTCGATTTTTATTTCAAATTTAATCAAATTTTCAATTTTTATTTCACATTCCCATTTTCTAATAATAATCAATAACAATTAACTTTCTTATTGTATGACTAAATATTTAAAAATTATCAAAATTATTCTCGTTACAAGCTAACAAGTTTTATTCCATTCATAAATCTCTTGAAATGGAATCTAAACATTTCATTTATTAAACATTACTTATAACGTTTATTTACTTACTGCATATATTTTTGCATATATTCCAATCACGATAATTGCACGAATCGATTAACCACGTTGCGAGTATTAAATTATAATTTGAAACCAAATATATTCCCCAGATTTAGAACAAGATTTATTGTTGCCAGATGAGGTTGTTCAACAAACGTTCACCACTCTGGAAACAAATGGCTGGCTGTCATCACGTGACAATACACCTCAGGCATTCGGCGTCGTGCATGCAAGAATCAAACGGGCATCCTATGCATCTCTGATGGCGGTTGCGCTTACAGTGGACGATAGTTTCGCAATACTTTGCGGAAGGTCGCCGACGTAAAGGATTGTCTGCTGCTCTAGGCCGTTGAAACGCAGGTGTTTTCCGACATGGACGTCGCGACAAGGCTGCCCACGATGCCTACGAATGTATATATCCTGTTGTCCCGCGTGTTGTTGCGATTTGCCTTTCGCAAGGCCGTTTCACGAGATAGCAGCGCCACCGTAGAAAGCAACGATTCCGTGAGGTTAGTGGAAACGATGATTGAACAGTGATGTTTACGTTTGATCTTTTGGATCGATAATTGTTTTTTTCGAATGAACATTATTTTATTTGAAATCGATGAGAATTTTTTTTTTTTTTTCAAAAAGATTCATACTAAACGTTAATTCAAAAAAAATGGTATTCCTAAAGAACGAGTTGTAATCTATGAATAACCTAACTTTTTTCTACTGGTTCGAAGATAGAAAAGTTTTATGGTAATTTTCTATTTGATTGACATTTAACGAGATAAGAAAATATACCATGAAAGATTGAATTAATTAAGATTACATTAGCGTTTACATGGAATATTGTGAACGTGATTCAAATCTTTTGAGATAATTAGTTTCAAATAATTGTTTTTTAATCTGATATAAAAATATAGATTTATTATTAAATATGATTCATTGAATGTGAGAAGTGTATGATTTATTTATTTATTCTTTTTTTTCTTTGTGATAAAGATAATTCTTAATTGTTTTTATCATCTTGTTGACGTAATTCCATTCTTCACTCTCAATCATTAGATATATAAATTAGTTAGTTTTAAGAAGTATATAAGAAATGAATCGAATAATTAATTATGCAGAGTAAAGTAATTATCACTGATTCATGCTGAGAAAAAAAATTAAATTAAATATGATTAGAGAAAGTCTGATAGCGATTTTCTACTTAATATTTCCATTAGATGTAACGCTATTTCCATGTAAGTAGAAAAAGATAAATAAAGTTTTAGAAGAAAACAGAATTATCCATTTGAGACGTATAATTATCTTCTTTGAGGAAAAAGATTAATGTATTTCTGTAATCAAATAATAAATTTTACAATTTTAATCTTCTCACTTATATTACACGCTTAATCTACAACATAATAAAGACATACATTCGATGATTTACGAACATATAATATTTTTAATTTCGAAAATTAAAAATTAACTAATTAAGATTCGAAACTGTTCTTAAAATCTCGAGCAAACTATTTTTAATTAATTAACATAATACTATTTATGTATTATTATACTATATATTACATTGTACATCTTATATTAACATACAATGCAACATTATATCATAACTTTATTACGTAACATAATCTCATTTTAATTAATTAAAAATCCTAATCTAATTCTTCAAATTATAAAATAAAGAAATCTAATTTAAATACGTAACCGATTGATTTAAACACTGAAACTTAATCTGACAGAATGATCGGGCAAATTCTTCCACCTTTCTAACGTGTTTCCAACGTAATACGTAAACTAATAAGCGACAAAGTTTAAGAGAAAACGAGAACGAAATTTAAAACTGGTTTCGAAACATATCTCAAACGAACCCTTGTTCACAGCACACCCCGTCGATCCTGATCAAATATTCATTCGTATGCGAGGCCACGTCCAAGAGGATGTCTGAATTTTTTCGTTTCGTTGCTCGAATTCTGTATGCCCGTGCCGTTTTTCAATTGTCGAAATTTCACGGGCGAAGGTTGGCCGCGTACTTTCCCGCCTTTTTGTCGCGATCCACGCGCCACCTCCAACATTTCTCGCAAGAAAAGTATCGTGTCCCTTTCTCTCAATTACACCCAGCTCCACGTCCAAATATGTGATCATGGGCACAGGTATGATATTAAATCGGAACGACGAGCTCTGAATAACCCATCGACGTTTATCAAACGTTTATTATTATATCGCGCGCCATTGGCTCCACCAAAAATCGTGAAACCTTCGTGAGACCTTCGTCAGATTTTTCTCGTTTCTTCTTTTTTTAACTGCGTAATGCTTGGTTTATGTCGATATTTTTTTTTGTTTTTTTCGGATAAAATTGTTATTGCGTGGAATTCGTCCCTTACAACGTTCGTATATTTTTCTCGTGTTCATTTAAGAGCGAGGAAACTTTTTATTTGTGATTATTTGAAAAATTTATTGGGTAACAGATATATATATATATATATATATTATTGGAATTTTTGAAAATTTGAAATGGACGAAATGAAACTTGAGGGAATTAAGTGTGAAGTTCGTGGAAATAGATCGAACAGAAGAAAAATTAATTTCAATCGTTTCTTTCTTTATATTAAGAAGAAAACGGTTGAGCTTTTCGTCATTCAAAAAGATAAATCGATACATTTTTTCAAGATATCCAACCCCTAAATTTCGAATTTCCTTTCGTATAATAAATAAACCAACGATTTTTAATCCTTAACAAAAAAAAAAAGGA